GAATTTTCCTGGAAAATCACAAAAGATTAGTTTTTTTCACTTTAAAAGGGAAAAAATGCTAACAATAATTTGTTACATGAAAAGTGCTATCGAATCAGATGTATTTCACTTTACAAATGTTACTGATTTATTTCAGAAATTGTATAAATGTTCCTAGAGATTTGTCAGTACCCTTTCTGTCCATGATATATCTGGTGCTCTTTGCCTGAGAGTAGACAACAAAAGTCTAGTATCATCAATCACAACTTTTTTTTTTTGTTAACTTAGTCACAACTTTAATTTAAACCTAGATCATGGTTTTTATGAGGAATTACATGCCTTACCTATGAACTTTTATTAGTTGTCAGGTGTTTAGAAGCTATTCTTGTTGTTATTGGGTGCCCTCAAGTCAATTCCAAACATAGCTTCACCATGTGATGGAGTGTAACTATCCTATAGAGTTTTCTTGGCTGTGATATTTATGGGAGCGGATCCTAATTAGACACTTGTATATTCATATTATCTTTCAGGATTGTTGTAAGATCTGAAGTTCTTTTCTCTCTAAAGAATATGGTCACCTTTTAAAATTATTAGTAATGAGTCATGTCTAAGTTTTGTAACCTGCAGATATGTTATTTATTTATCTTAAACTCTTAACTCCCTGAAAGTGCCTGCAACCAACCACAGAGCAGAATATTTCAACAAAAGGTACTGTCTCAGGGACCTAAGGAAAGGACTATGCCAGATATTTTGGGTGTGGACTTTTTTTTTTCTAATTTTTAAAAATTAATATTCTTTTGCGTTTTTGGTGAAGATTTACAGCAATTCAACCATTTCTATGCAAATTATTCACTGACACTGGTTAAATTCTTCACATGTATGAACATTCTTATTTCTGTTCTGGTTCCATTTCCATTAATCTAGTTTCCCAGTCCCCTTATATTCTCATCTGTTTTAAAGTAATTGTTGACCATTTGGTCACATATAGATGAGTTAAAGGAGCACAGTGATACTATTTTTTGAGCCAATTTGTTATTTAACTACAAGGTGACCTCGGGTTAGTTTTGGTTCAAAGTCTGAAGAGTACCTCAGGGGCAATAGTCTGAGGAAGTCCTACAGTCTCAAACAGTGCAACAGGACTGGGTCTTTTTTTCTTGTTGTTGTTGTTTTTAGGAATTTGAGGTTCTGTTCCACCTTTGTCTTCCATTCTATCAGGGTCTTGGGCATGGACTTGCAATGATACTACTTAAATACTACTGGATTGAATTACGATTTCCAGAACTTTTGTGGAGAAGATCATGGGTTCACGAGACTTTAAGCTTAAAATCCAGGGGAACACAAATGAATTACGTAGGACTGAATGAACTGAAAGATCTTTATTATTTTGAGTATTGCTATTTAATAGTCTTTTCCAGATACATTATTTTTTTCCTGAGGAATGCATAACTCATAAAAATTTAATAGACAGCATTTTGTAAACAAAAATGAAACATTTATCTTTTCTCACTGCCTAATTCTTCCAGAATTGAAAAACTCTTTAATGATTTTTATGTTTTTATGGCAATGTAAATATTTACATAAGTTTAATAAGAATCTGTCCTCCTTGTTAAGAAGACTTATCAGAAACCTCAGATGTATAACCAGGCTTTAACTGGAATGTCATAGTTGAGAATGATGCTCACAGAATCAAACTCACTCATTGAGTCGATTCTGACTCATATCAACCACCATTGTGTTTCCAAGGCTGTAATCTTCATGGAAGCAGACCGCCTCATCTTTCTTCCATGGAGCAGCAGGTGGGTTCGAACTGCCAATCTTTTGGTTAGCAGCCGAATGCCTTACCCACTACCCCACCAGAGCTCCTTTATGACCAAGAGAAATCCAAAAAATCCCAAACGCACTGCCATTGAGTCTATTCTAACTCATAGAGGCCCCAATTGGTTTCCAAGGCTGCAAATCCTTACAGAAGTAGACCGTCTCATCTCTCTAGTAGGTTTGAACCAGCAACCTTTGGTTAGCATGCCTTAACCACTACATTACCAGAGCTCCTTTATGACCAAGAGAAGGGATTGTTAATAAACTGTAGCCCAGTTTGACACAGTGATTAAGTCTTTGCAAACCCTCTTTGTGACAAAGGCATTTTTCAACTATTAACTAGCTTAGAGGTCACCTAATGCAGAATGTAACTTTAGGTAATTTCCTTTGCACTGTTCTAGAGATGACCTTAATAATTGTGATATCTCTTATCATTTTAAAATCCAGGACCTACATCTAAAGAATGTCTCCCCTCCCGCCACCACCTAGTAACCTAATGCCTGTTGATTTCAGTAAGGGCGCACAGGTTCAGGTATCCAATAAGGTAAGCATGTACTTACTAATGCTTGCCAAATTCTTAGTTATGAAATAGAGAAAAAGAGATGCCAGAATCAAGCAGGTTCAGTAGAGATTTTATATTCCTTAGACAGGACAAAGACAAAACAATTATTCAGGATGAGTGAAACCATCAGCATGCACACAGTACAGAAAGCTGAATGGAGTCCACTGAGTCATGGCCATGGGGCTAATTATATGATTGAAAACAAAGGGAAACATCACAAAATCATGATTGGTGGCAGGCTGATTCATCACCGTTGTAGGCGGGACTACAGAAGTGTGTGTGATGGGGGGGGGCAAGGCCACAATTGAAGATTAAAAAAAGGATTCAGAATTGGTTCTGGGGCCTGACTACCTCACTAGGTGGTGGTCCAGATATGACTCAAGATCTTGTGGCCTGAGTCAGAGCCACAAGGTGGCTACAAAACAGTTATCGGGAGCCCCAAACATAATTTAAATCAGAAAAGGACATATTCAGTCAAGTTCCCTAGTTCTTTGCGTTAACTAAATCTTCCTGAGTACCAACTGTCCCTCTTTATGTTTGTCCTGGAATCTATCTATGCATAGCTACAATGTTGAAGGTTAGAAAGAACTGAACTGGCAACTGAACTTAAGTCAAGATTAAAATGGAGTTAGGGCTCCTACTATAGACCAAAGCCTTCCACAAACCCCAAACCAAACCAAACCAAACCAAGATCACTGCTGTCAAGTGGATTTGACTCACAGCAACCCCTCCTGGGGTTTCTGAGGTGGTATCACTACAGAAGTAATTTGCCCAATTCTTCCTTTTGAGGAGTGGCTGGTGGGTTTGAACCGCCAGCCTTCTGGTTGGCAAATGCCTTAGGCACTATGCCACTACAAACCCAAGTATTTGGCAATTTAAGCTCTAATACAGTTATTTGTTGTTGTTGTTGTTATGTGCCCAGTCGGACCCGACTCATAGTGACCCCTCCTTGGGTACCCGAGGAGGTATCACTACCGAAGTATATTGCCCAACATTCCTTCCCAGTGGCTGGTGCGTTTGAACCACCAACCTTCTGAATAGCAGTCAAGTGCCTTGGGCACTACGCCAAATAAGACAGAAGTTGGTAAGCACTGGTAAGCCTGTGCTTACCTTGCTTATTGGATAATTTTCCCTGGCAGGGTCCCATCAGTTACGTTAAAATTCAGCTCAGCTCACCGCCATGGAGTCAGATAGGACTCATAGCAACCCCTTCTTCGGTATCCCAGGCGGCATCACTATGGTAGACTGCCCAATCTTCCTTGGAGGAGTGGCTGGTGGGTTTGAACCGCCTGCATTCTGGTTAGCAGTCAAATGCTTTAGGCACTATGCCACGAGAGCTCCTACGTTAAGATTAGCCAATGGTTAATACTTTCTATTCTTTTTTTTAAAAAAAAAAAATAATAATAATAATAAAAACTTCATTGTAACTAGCCTACATAGAGCCACTGAATTTGTTTAGAATCAGAATGTTCTCCATGTATGCGTATAGAGTACTGCTGGTATAAAGCCTTTCAATTTCTTTGTGTATTGATTATTTTTTAATACGAGTCCTTGGGCATTCTCTGACCAACTCCGATTGGATACCGGGGCGGGCGGGTCCCAAAGTCATTTTAAAAGTCCTCAGTATAAAATAAAAAGGCGTCTGACCTAAAATAAAAATGGCTGAATGAATTCTAAAAGGGCAGAGTTTACCTTTCACGCAGATTAAAACCTGTTGCTTATTAAGGTTTTGTAGTTAGGCTAACACTGTAAATTTGTAACCAAACTTCATGAAACTTTGTGTTAGATCTTCAGAGCTAATATTCTGCGTGTTTTAACAATCCGGTACAAACAGCAGCAGCCAATCATGTTACTGTCATGCCACCCTTCCGAAATTACAAACATTTGTAATTGTGTCTTTTCGCCAATTATATGTCCAGTTGGCTTTAGTCAATCTCTTTAATTTCCTTTAACAAAATGAGAGACTTTTTTTCTCTACAATACCTCCCTGGTCGGCGGTCTGTCCCCTTCAATGCCAGAGCTTCTTTTTCAAGGCCAACTCCCCCGGTCTTCGGTAATCTTCCGGAGAGATCCAGTCAGGTCTTCCCGTTCCAAAGAGTGTCGCCTAGGCGACCCCGCCCCGCTCAGCGCTGGCAACGAACCTATGGCCTTCCAAGAGAGCCAATCGCTTTCGCCACGCACGTTCGTCACAAAACACCAATAAACTGCTCGTTCTCCGTCTCCGAGCCGCACCGTTCCCCGAGAACCCTCTGTCCTTCTTCGCAGCCTCCTCCTTCCACTTCTCACTGGGCCTCCGCACCAGCCCTTGCCTCCTCGGATCACTGCAGAAGCGGATCCCTCCCTCCACAACCCCGGAACCTCGTAATACCCGCGACAAGTCCCACGCGCTCTAAGACCACAGAATAGCTTTATTCCACTCGGAGCTCTCGGCCCTCCCTCCCATTTCCTGTAGACGTCGCCGTGCGCCAGCCTGGACAGTGATTGGCTTACTTTGCGCGTCACTCCGGGCTCCGGCGCCTCGCCATTGGTGAGTTTTCCTCACGGCCTAGTCTTCCGCCGTGGTGGATTGGCGCCGACTGCGGGGGGCTAACTCGAGGAGAGCGTCGCCGCCTGTTTTCCTTCGGCGGTTAGCGGACCTCTTGTTATGGCGGAACCTCTGGCTGCAGAAGGAGTGACTGCCACTGCAGTTCCTGTTCCAGGTGTCAACAGCAATGGTGAATCGCCTGAAGTCGAAGGAGAAGGCGTTGGAGCAGCGGACGAAGATAAGGACGCGCCTATGCAAGTGGCAGAGGCCGTTGGGGACAGCGAGGAAGACGGGGAGGATGTGTTCGAAGTGGAGAAGATCTTGGACATGAAAATCGAGGGGGTACGTGTGAGGCCTGGGAGAAAGAGGCGAGGGTCTGTCTGTCCCTTCATACTCCGCAGAGGTGGCACGTCGGCACATCTCTGAGCTGTGGAGAAGACTCAGCTTTTAATACTTTAGTAAAGAGTCCTTTACTACCGGAGAAGAGAAGGGAATGAATGGGTGGAGATGGAGAGGCCGTGAAGGGAGCGGAGTAATTTTGAGGTGCTGTTTATGCCTCAGAGGCATTCATTTTGAGCTTTCACCTTGTGGAGAGGAATACTGGGAGGGAAGACGCGTAACCCTCCCGGAATTCACAACCTAGAAAAAGATTAGCATGTCCGCATACAAAACAAGCAGGGAGAAGGAACGTTACAGTCACAGCAAAATCATGGGAGAAGTAGAATGACATTTCCAACTAGACCGTAGGATATATCTGTGAAGATGTATTTCCAGAAGTTTTAAGGGATGTTTTTGCAGAAGTAGTGAAGCAGTCTAAGATGATCAGAAAGGGGCAGAAAGTTGATGACTATTTTATACAGTTGTCGATACACCTGATTGAGGCCACTGCTGTATTCTGGGAATGGTATATAGTTGAAATAATGCTTTTCCTCATCATTGTCCATACTTACCAAACCTTAATCGATCCTCTAGTTTAAAATCTTCAGAAATTCCCTTTCACCTTCAGAATAAAATCCCAGTCTGCTGTATGGCTCTTAAGGGCCTTAAAAAAAAAAAAAAAAAAAAAAGGCCTTCAGAATCTGAGCTGTAACATCCTCCTCCACAGTATGCATTTATTATTTTAGCCACAATATATTTGCAGTTCCACACTATGCCTTGACACTTAGAAGTCTTGTGACCTGGACTGTACTCTTTCCTGTTGAAATCTTTTTTTAAATTTTTATTGTGATTTGGGTGAAAATTTACAGAGCAAAAACACTTTCCATACAGCAGATCACATACACTTTGTCTTATGACATTGACCACAATTTAGCACAATGCAACATCTCCTCTCCCACTTCCTCCCAATAGGTACCGCTTCCCTGTGACCATCTCTCCATCTACTCCTACCCCCTGAGCTGTCTCCCTGTGCCTGAGCAGCCCTTCTTTCTCTCTTGCTTGTTCTCTCGAAGGAGTGTATCTGTCTACTGCTTGGCTGGAAGCTACAGGTGTATGTTCAGTTCCAGACCTGAAGGGCAGCTAGGGGCCATAGTCTCAGTGGTTCAACCAGGCTCCATCGGGCCACTAAACCTGTTCCCTGCTCTTTTTTTTTTTTCCCTCCAAATGATTTTGAGTTTTGTTCCACATTGTTCCCCCTGTCTATCCAGGATCTCCTACAAAGATCCTCTTCCAAGTGGTTGACAGTAGTAGCCGAGCACCATCTATTTCTTCTGGTCTCATAGTCGTATAGGCTGCAGAT